TGGGGAGAAACCGAGCCACTGGGCTCCACGAGGTTGCCTCCATTCTATAAAATTATAAACAATTGCACCGAATTGCACCTAATTTTAATAATATGCCTATGCTGCAAATGTCTACTATGCGCAGGACATTTGCCTTTTCTAAGGGGGGTGTAAGACTTGAACTGTTTGCCTTTTGCATTCCTTTTCGCAGAAGACAGTGATTGAAGGGCCTCGAAGATTAAAAAATGCTTGGGAGATGAAACAGAACGACCTTCACCAAACTAGTTTCTGACATGTTTCCACGAGCCATCGTTGCAACCGTGGCGACAAGAGTGCGACCGACAGTTGGTTGTGATGTGCCATTCTGCCGTGCTTGTGACACTGGTCAATGGATGGCAGCATAAGGCTCGAAGCAGGTGGCCAGTCCCTGGCACTAATTCGAGCGGGCTGCTCCGTGCACATGCGAAACATTCGGCGACCACTTCTGGGCCTGTTCTTGTTGGCTTTGCCACTGGCCTATGTGCCAGCATGGTGGAGAAATGGATGGCCCAGAGACAGAGTGGGGAGTTTGGCGGAGGTCGAGTTATTGTCGCAGCTGGCTGCCGTCCTCATGCCGTCTGAAGAGATTGGAGAGCTTTTCCGAAGCTTTCCCGCAGCGCGAGGGTGGGGCGGGCACGCCTTGGAGCCCGATTTGGCAGCTTATGGCGTTCTCAGACACAGGAACGCCGCGCTGTTTGTGGAATATGATGGCTTCTGGAGGCATGGGGAAAAGGAAGGCATTGCAATGGATCGGAAGAAGAATGCGGCATTATTAACTTATGCACCCAAGGGATCTGTTGTTGTCCGAATAACCCACACCTTGCACAAACCTCTTTTGCAAGAAGGTGTTCTTTGGGTTCGAGTGGATAAATGGCGTCAAGGAGAAGAGCAAGCACTAGCAAACGTCTTGCAAAACCTCCTTTCGCACGTGGCAACCAGGCTCCAACAGGTTTTGCGGCCGAGTGTGTTGAAACAGATCCGGCTGCAGATACTGAGCGATCAATGGACTTTCTCAGAGGACAGCCAGAGATTTGTAATGAAAGCTGCAGCTTTGTTGGGAAGGAACTCAAGTCAAGAGATTGCAAGCTATTTTGCTAGTGAAGGCTTCAGCGCACAAGACATCCAGTTGATGGAGATGGCTTCTAAGTCGTATGCCCAATGCATTCATGGGACCCTGAAACCAAGAATACAGTGGCTTTTGGGGCTGGGGCTGAAAAAGAGAGAAGTTGCAAAGGCAGTGGCAGGTTTTCCGCAAATTCTTGGATACAGCATTGAGCAGAATTTGAAGCCCACTGTGGAGTGGCTGCTGGACTTGGGGCTCAGAAAGATACAAGTTGCAAAGGTAGTGGCACGTTTTCCGCGAATTCTTGGACTTAGCATTGATCAGAACTTGAAGCCCACTGCGGAGTGGCTTCTGCACTTGGGGCTCAGCAAGATACAAGTTGCAAAGGCAGTGGCACGTTTTCCGCACATTCTTGGATATAGCATCGAGCAGAATTTGAAGCCCACTGCGGAGTGGCTGCTGGACTTGGGGCTCAGCA